GGACAGAAAGCCTGTCAAAGACAAAGACTCCACCCGGGACCCTCCTGACTGAGTCCCGTCCAGCACACGGGCAGCATGTCCACCCTGGACACCCGGCGGGCCGTGTGGAGGCCGCTTACAGGCCCTGACGCGAGCCCACACCCGGGAGGACCCCTTCTCCAGCGAAACCAAGCCCTTTCCCATCGGGGCTGGCGGGGAGGCGCCCACAGAGGAGGAGCAGCTGGAGACGCAGCTGCGGCCAGCGCCTGCGCACAGGAGCGTGGCTGTGCGTGCACGTGTGAGCGGGTGGCCCACGCGGAGGCGCGGCCCCGGGACCGGCGCCGAGCAGCAGGCTTACCTCCCAGAGATCCCAGGGAATGGGCTGAGCGCAGCAGAGGGAGAAGCACAGAGTTAGCACAGGAGTTAGGGGGGCAGGCAAGCAGTCCCGTCAACCCCCTCCCACGCCCGCCCCCCGCCAGGGCCCTCAAGCCGGCAGGCACAGGTCAGCCTGAGCCGGGCTGGGTCCCCAGAAGACTGCGTCCTGGACACCTTTCAGGGGCCTGCAACCTCAGGCCAGGGAACACCCCAACAGGGCTGCTGCCAGGAGAGGTGCAGGTGCTGGGAGAAGCCATCCACTGCCAGGTGAGGTCAGCAGGCCCTCCCCCGGGCCCCTCCCAGCCTGCTCTCTTCCATTCCCCACGGCCCAGCCCGGGACAGAGTGGGAGGGAGAAGAGCCAGGACTCCACGGGCTCACAGGGCCGGGGCAGACGTGCGCCCAGGGCCCAGCCGCCCAGATGCCGATGGGCACACAGGTGGTGGCAGACTCAGACCAACCTGACCGGAGGGCGTGGGCGCCTTCACTGGGCTCGCCACGGGTGGCAGGGGGTCAAAGTCCAGGTCCAGCAGACTGGCCTGCTCCGAGAACGGCCCTGGGGCCTCAAACTGGGCGGCAGCGGCAGAGGAGGAAGGCAGTTAGTGACAGAAAGCACAGCACAGGCGGGCACGGTGCGGCTCGGGCACACGGGTGCCCGTGCAGACAGGGGCCCCTCACAGGGAGCAGCACATCCTCGCCAGACACCCTGGCACACGCTCCCACCCCGCCCACAAGCCTGGCCCCCACCTCAGGCACCAGCCGCAGGCCAACCCCCTGCCAGACGGCACTAGCCCGCTCGCCACGGGGCTCTGCCTCCCGCTCCTGCACCACAAACTCCCGGGACCTTACCACCCACCCGAAGCCCAGGCAGCGTCCCAGGCTGGACAGGGCCACAGGGGGCCCCTCCACAGGCTCCCGCTCCCCGCGCCCCC